AAAGCGTCGTTTCCAAAATAAAGTTATAATAATTATATAATAGTATGCAATAGAAACAGCAAATCATTTTAAAGATTATTAAACATCACCTTTATTTTCATTGTCATTCGTATTTTTACAGGCTGTACAAAGATTTGAAATTAAGAACCATTTTCTAATGTTGTTTAGCGAACAACCTTTAAAGATATCGTCAGAGAAGGTCTTGGGAAAAAATTAAATTGTTTTCTTATTTAGCTTAAATATTTTTCCGAACGCATCTATAGGCGAATGAGAAAATAAAAATAAAATTTTAATGATGAACGTAAACAGTGTAATAATGCAACTGATAAATGATTTAAATTTATATAATTAAGGAAGAAATATATATATATATATATAATATATAACTATTAAAAACATATTTAATATATAACTATTAAAACTAAAGAAAAGATTACCATTAAATAAAATAGGTCGGGTCTTCATTGATTAAAATGTGACGAATTAACGATAATTGAAAACAATTATAATTTTAATTTCAATCATTTACGCGAGCATGGAATTTACGCGAGCACGCACGCGCGCAAATATTCGATTATATATGAATTCTTATACGCTGTTCATACTAAGTGATGTTAATTAAAAAATATAATTGTAAACCCAATTAAGTGTGTGAAATTAATATGGAATGTACGTAAGACATATACTTTGCATGTGTTCATCGGGAAGATTATGAAACAAAATGGACGGTGTGTACCACGTGACTTTCGTAAACCAAGGAGCGGAATGTCGCAACTCTTTATATATATGGCTCTGGAATACGGCAAAGTCATAGCTCTGGAATACGGGCTTTCTCTGTCCAGAACTCACAGCCCGTATTCTGGACAGAGAAAGCCCGTATTCTGGACAACAGCGCCCCCATACAGCCCGTATTCTGGACAGATTTCACCAACCCGTCTCTCATAACCTTATTAATACATTAAACATTGAATTATCAAATATCAATCAATGGTTTAAGGCTATAGGCCTAATAAACTCATTTTAAATATTGATAAGATAAATTATATCATTTTTAGACCACGCCAAAATTTATCTCTGTTATTGATACCCAAATAAAAATTAACAATTCGATATTAATGAGAAAAAACACAGGTATCTTCCCGGGAATACACACTTATGTTGGAAGCCTCATGTAGATTACATTTCTACTAAAATCGCAAAACCCATTGGTACTATCCACAAAGTTAAACACATTTCCCCCCAACATATTCTTTTAAATTTATACAACTCTTTTAGTCTACCTTCAATACTGGTTTAACATACTAGAAACAAGTAAAAGATCTATATTTATTAATGGCCCATCATATTGGAATGATCTTCAAACCACCTTAGGACCAAACAAAATGACATCCCTCCCAACTCTAAAAAGAATATTAAGAAGATGATATTTAAAACATACTGAGGCCCTATTTCAATTGTAGTTAACATGGCCCAATGTAAATAGTAATTTATTTTATATAATAAAAATAATTTTAAAATATAAAATATAATTTTTGTTGAATAAAGTCAGTGATTTGACCAGGGAAAGGCGGAACTGCAACAGTTGCGGCTCTAGGATATAATTTATGGTGGGGGGGGGGGGGTAAGATATCCGACGATGTACAAATAAAAGATTTGTTTTGGGCGGATGATGTCGTACTCCTAGCAAATAATGAAAATGAATTATCGTACAGCGTATACTGAATATAGCGGCTGACTTCAACAATGCATTCAAACTTAGATTCAATCATGAAAAATCAAAGATATTAGTAATCGGTAAAAGGATCGATATGGTAAAATATGGCAGCTAGGGAAAGATACTATCTCTGAAGTGGAGAGCTAAAAATACCTTGGTTGCATAATATCTCGAAATTTATCAGATCATAATCATATTGATAATATTAATATTAATATTTTGACAAAATCTTCTCTGTATCTACTGGAACCGAGCCACATAGCTTGTATTCCACTATTTGCATTCACATCTGGGCTGTGTATATATATTGCTGTGTATATATATTGCCTTGGTTTGGCTCTGTAATCATTAGTGGTCGTGGGACTAGTTTGGGCCCTACCTTATAAGCTGGTCGAACGTTTCGTTTGGGTCTATACCCTAGGTGAGTCGAATGGCCGAGCGGTTAGCAGGGGCGCCGCAAGCTATAGCCATAATATCGGCGCTGGTTCGAACGGCACGCTCGCCTATGGTTCTGGTGGTAGAACAAGTCCTCTCGGATAAGGACTATAAACCGTAGGCCCAGTGTATACAATGGCTCGTGTGCACTATAAAGAACCCAGTACATCCTTCGAGACGAGTAGGGGGATACCCCGGTGTACTGGAACAGACAGCCCCTGTGAGATGTGTATAAGAGACAGTTGCTATACTGTACATTTTCAGCAA